GTATGGGTGTGTGCGAGTTCTGCTGAGTGAGAGTGGCAATCAGAGTGTCTGACAACCAAGTTCATAACAGTTGGTATCGGAGCAGAGTTTGGAATTGGAGCTCAGAGGGTTGAGCGCAACAGGGGCACCTTCTTCATCTGGCTTTAACTCGCGAGAAGATCCATGGTGGTTCTCCATCTCCAGTGACTATCCAGCAGGGAAGAAGGGATACAAGCGGTGATTGCAGGAACATTAGTTGTGATTGATCAGGCACTCTGAGCCTGTCTGTGTGCCTGACAGGAAGTGGCGAGAATAGGGTTATTTCGCCATCCACCTTCCTGACCTCAGTTGATGATTGGGTCTAGGGTGGCGAAATTTACCCTAATCCAGTGATTACTGGGTGGCGGCTTCAATTGATCGCAGGATCCCCTCCTGCTAAATTAACCCTACTCAGGGCTAAATTTAGCACCAGCGGCTCATACCCTGCAGTGGCGAGATACCTTCAGGAGAGTTTTCTCTCGCCGCTGGGGCAGATTCAGTGTATCTGAGAGTTGGGGGTGAATCGCCTCATCATACTGGAGCAGATCAACAATTTGCAGGAGATTCTGTACGTGGTAAGCTCTGGAAGACGGTCTGCAAGTACTGGTGAGACCAGGGTTTGACAGCCATAGCCAAAGCTTTATCATCCACTGAGGGCTGTACTTCAAGTGAGTTCGTTCCACATGAATCCCTGAGTAGCGATTAGTATAGGATTAGTAAAGATAGGATTGATGGTCTGTCTGTCAGTACTGCAACAATCGTGAAATTGTCAGACTGCAGGACAACCATATCCATCTTCTTCCTCCCTACCCTGACTCATATCTCTTCATCTACTGACCTGTTCTGACTCCAAATTGTTCTGGGACTGCTTTACAGTATTGCGTTGCATCCTGTATGCTCATTCTGTGAATTCTGTACTGAAAAGGCAGTGATATTGTGGATTTGAGTTCTGCGCTAGGTTTATTTACAGTCTAGGCTACCTAGGGTCAATCACAACTCAAAATATGACCGTCAGAATTCAAGCCTGTCAGTCTGGGGTGAATCGCAATTCTATTTTTAGCAACCCTGCTAAAGCGCTAGTCCAGAAACACTGTATTTGGGTCATTACAGTATATTCCTGAAATTCGCCATATTTGGGGTAATTTTTGTTGACGTCAACACTGGTGAAATTTGAGTCTGGGGTTGTCAGGGAGTAGTCTACTAAATCGCTACTACCTGTTGTTGTGTTTCAGTCAATTCTTGCCTACCCTTATCAATACTACTAATCTACTCTGCTTTCTGATGGGCTCAGGAATTCTAGTGACCCTGGGAATGTTGTGAAACTGCATGTTGCAACTTCAGTAAAAGTTCAGAGTCAGGTATAGGAAATCGTTAGTGAATGGTTTTACTGGACACTCTGTCAACCTGATTACTGACCCCAGTGGTCCTGTTCCAACCCTAACTGCTTGTGCCCACTAACCCACATTGCTCAGTGAATTGACAATGCAGCGAAATTTGAGTGTCTGTGTGATCTGTAAATCGCTGCACCCCCTGCTGTTTCATTTTTGTTTTATTGTTGTCTGTGAGGGAAAATGTCTGACGCAGCTGACACAGGTGCAGGGAAGGTTGAGGTCGTGATTAAGGCTGGAGGGGAACCCTCAGCCACAACACCACCTCCCCCTCCTCTGACCCCTGCGCAGCGGCTCAAGAGAGAGATCCAGGAAAAGCTGCGAGAGCAACAGGTGCTGCTCGCAGAAGCAGAGAGGCAAGAAGCTGCAGAGCTGGAAGCTGCAACAGATGCTTCCAGAAAAGAGCACCTGCTGCAGCAGGCTCAGAAGACTTTTGCGGATGCTAGAGTGGCCCAGTGTACCAGGGACCTGGCTGAGCTGGTATTGTTACAAGACAAGCTTACAGCCAGCCATTTCACAAACTGGGACGAAAGGATCCAGAGGCTGGAAACCAGAGTGTCTGATCTGGGAACCCAGCAGTCTAAGATCCTGGATGCCATCCAGAATCTGACTGCTCAGTTAACAGCAGCCAACCTGATCTCTCCTTTGGTCCCTGTGGGCCCCTCTCCTAAACCCCCAAAGCCTTCTCAACCTTCCTCTCCTCACTCTTCTCGTAAGTCTTCTCCCTCTGTCTCCTCCCAGGCCAAAGCCACACCTCCTCCCACCTTTGCTGCTATAGTTGCTGGGGACCACAAAGGTCCCAAGATTCCTGCCCCAAGCAAATTCAAGAAAAATAACCCCAAGATTGATGTGGGGGACTGGACCGCTGGAACCTGGGCCTATCTGAAGGGGTTACAGTGTCCAGAGCAGCAAAAGGTGGCCACCGTTGTGGGGCTGCTGGAGGGGCCTGCCCAGAAATGGGCTACCTCTACAGCAAGTGCCCAGAGCCAGACTTTGGAGGACTGGGAATTGGCACTGGGGGCTGACAAACTTCTGCAGGCCCTGGAGGACAGGTTTGCAGACAAGGAACGTGCTCGTAAGGCTGCTGACAAGATCGTACGCCTTGGACAACAGCGTTACAGCGGCAGTCTGCAGGCCCTTTTCGTTGAATTTGAGCAGCTCACCTCCACCCCTGGATTGGTTATGTCTGCTGATGATCTGCTGACTAGCTTTTGCAGGGCTGCGCCTGAGAAGTTCTCAGTCGCTTTGTATAGCGCCGGGCACAAAGATTGGTGCTCATTTGGACGTGCAGCACTGGACATGGAGGCCAAGCTCCATGTTCAGGCCCCCTCCAGTGACAGGAGGAAAGGCGCCTTCCCTCGCGGTGGTAGAAAGGGAAAGGCGGCCTTTGCTTATGCGGGTTCTGGATCATCATCTGATGCAGGATCCCGGCCTGGTACACCGCCAGGTGGGACTGCGGCAGCTGCTGTTCCAGATGTTGCAGCAGTTGTCCAGCAGCTGCAGGCTGCACTGGGGGCCTTTCAAAAGGCCGGATTTGCCTCCAGCACAGCCTCCAGCAGCAAGGGGAAGAGCCAGGGACGTCGCTCTTCAACCCCTGCCCGGCGCCCTAATTTGCCACCGGACGTCCGCTTTCCTGCAGACCCCCTCAACCCCAACACCCTTCCCTGGCATGATTTGAAGATACAGGAAGGGGTGTGGAGGAAGAGGAAGGAAAAGGGGGTCTGCTTGAGGTGTGAGGGGCAGCACTTTTAGAAGGACTGTCCCTACATGCCCAGCCCAGCTCAGTCAAAAAATTGAAGCTGAACCTGGAGACAGCAGTTCCCTCCAGTGCTGCAACTGCATCTGCAGCTGCAGCAGCTTCAGTTGAGACTCCTTCCTTCCCATCCAATGTGGGAGCTGCGCGGGCATCCTGACCCGGATCAGGAACCGGACCCGTCTGAGTGTCAGGCTCTGGCTGCTTTCTTCTTTCACCTGAAAGAACAAAAGCAGAACAAGTCTGATCTCATCCTGCTTCGGCCCCTGATCAACCATCGCAGGATCAAAGGGCTATTAGACTGTGGAGCCACTCGCAACTTCATGTCTCCCAGTGCAGTCCAAAAACTGCATCTGGGCATGAAAGTGGTGCGGCTGCAGCAACCGCTGCAGGTCCGCATAGGGGACTCCACTATTCTGACAATCAGGGAGAAGGTCAGGGGTATCCCTGTTACCTTCGACAGTGCTGGAGAAGTCAGACATAGTTTGGACTTCTACATCTTCCCTGACCTACCCTTTGACCTTGTGTTCTCTATGCAGTGGCTGAGAGCAGTCAACCCAAGGATCGACTGGCAGATCCCCAAGGTTGAACTGCCAAACAGCAAGGGGGTATATCAGCCTTGTATGCTTGCAGCTGATTACCACCCCCATACCTCTTGCTTCTGCCTGAGAGCGAGAGAGTTCTATGCTCTCTCTCGCCAGTATGATCATGAGCGTCTGTTCATCGCTCTGGTCAAGCAGACAGACGCTCCCTCTACTCCCTGTCCTCTTGAGATACAGCAGGTTGTGGACCAGTATGCTGATCTGATGCAGGAGCCCTTTGGGTTAC